TCCTTGTTTTGCTTTTACTGTCTGAGCCCATTTTGGTGCTGGAGGGAACAAAATGAAGCACAATGAAAACACAGCCTTAGGGTTGCTGTTCCCATAGAGGTAGGATGAAGGTGATGCTCTGCCTGGTTTGACCTATGGGAGCTGCACATCCAGAGCATGTTTTGGTAACTCCTGAGGGAGCGTTTGCAAAGGACTAGGTTGGCTTTTGGGCAACAGTAGGTTGGGTTTTGGGCAAGAGCTCCTCTTTGAGTCTGGAGCTGGCACCTTTCAGAAGGGTGGGTGAATGGCAGAAGGAAGCCCTCCACTTATACCTCTAGGTAGGCCCTGAGGTATCTTTACAGGTGTCATGATCTCATTCCCCATCGCTGCAAGTTTTATAATGACTTTCACAAAAATTAGGCATATTTAAAATGCAGCTTTGTCTTCTTGGTTTTGTAGCTGTGCTAGAAAGTCATTACACATGGATTTGTTTTTCCTTATCTCTTGGATTATCATCAGCTTCCTTCCTTCCTTCCTTCCTGGATGAATTTATCCAGTGTTCTGACTGCAGCTCCATGTCTATGGGGCTTAAGAATTTGTATGTTTAACATAATTGAGCCGAGTATTTTGCAGCAATTAACGGTGAAGATAATTTTCCTCCAATTGATGGATTGGTTACGGTGAATCTTTTTGCAGTCTATTCACTTTGATTTGCTGTTTTGGTTACAGACCTGCTTTATATTATTTGTCCTTGTATTTTATTTCTTTTTTTGTCCTTGTATTTCATTTCATTTACCAACTGAGCCATATATTAATCTGACCTTGGAGAGGGGAAACAGAGACAACATTGTGGGTTTTAAGAAACTTCCACAGAGATTTAGACAGCTGGTCAAGGATAAATTCAGTATGCAAACAGGGTCATGAATATTCTAGAAAATAGCTGTTTAAAATACCAGGGCATCAAATATCTCTTCAGTCTCCTTCTTTGGACTGGGCTTGGAATTTGATTGTAGGGTATTGGTTATTTCTGGGCTCATGTAGCAATTACACAGGTAATAGGGAGGAAAAAAAAATATTTTAGATAGATGTTTAAGGGAAAGTGGTATGGCATGATTTTAAAACAACAAAAATCCATAAGTTGCATGAGACTGTGACGGTGTCCTACAGGGGCTGATAATTAGAACTAGGAGTTCATTATCTTTCCAGAGCTAAACTGCTTGCTTTTGTGTGCATGGGGGTGCGGTGAGTTTGGTATACCTAGGATGTGGTAGTTAAACTAGGTGGAATTTTTTTAAGGCTTTCTGTGAGCTAGGAGAAATTAACATTTTTACTGAAACATCTTTAATTTTGTTATTAAGGGCAATTGTATTTTAGTGTGTGTTAGCTGGCTGACATTAGCTCTGCGCAAATATTAAAGTGTTTTATATTGAAAATGCATCTGCCTAAAGACTTATCCCAAAGCCTGTGTCTTATACGAATGACATAGTGCTATTTTGTTTTGGTCTGCATATAGATACGCTTCCTTAACAATAGAAGGATTTTCCCCATTTTTTTATTACAAAATAGGTATCAACACAGCTTTACATCACAATGATGGTGATGTATGGTATAAAACAGTGCAAGTGTCTACATATACCAGCAGCTATAGCACGATAATCAATTTTTGAAAAATAACACTTTTAGAAATTGTATAGACAAGCCCTTACTGCTTGCCTGAAGAAAGAAAGATGATAAATTAATTTAAATATTAAACACCAGTTGAGGCAATTAATTTTTAACGAAGACCATGAAAAACTGGTTTTGCTTGTATTCGCTGGAACACACTTTCAAAAGCTTTGCTTTTCCAAAATTGTTTTTTCCTATGTGTGTGGTGCAGGATGTGACTTGGTTCACAGCAGGTGGGTTCATTAGCTGGCATTTCTGGTATAATATCCAGCTGTGGAAAGCTTATAAAAATACTGGTATTTAGGTCATCTTAATTAGGTCTTGAAATAAAGATTTAAGATAAAGTGGCTGAGCTGCTTCAGTGAAAAGAGGGTGCAATTCCCAGGCAGTATGAACTGATTTCAGCAGAGGTGCTGCAAATCCACCTCACCGGTGCCTCCTGTGACTGTGCAGGGAGCTGAACCGATTAACACTAATGATTTTGGGGAGAGGTGAAAGACAATGGCAGTTTTCAGCTGGGTTGGGTGCTGCACGGGATATCCCTGCTCTCACTGCTACCGACGCCAGCACAGGGAGGGGATTGGGCTGGGGCAGCCCCCGTTTGTATTGCTGCAGGCTTCTGCGTGACCCATGCTTCTTCATTGCTGGTGATTTTGTGGAGTTTACCTGCTTCCTTCCTTTCTTCCTTGATGAATTTATTCAGAGTCATGCTTATGTTCACAGTACTTGACAGGGAGCAGAGATATCTGTTCTTCTTGCCCAAGCCTGGGGGAGCAAAGAGCTTCCCCCCCTTCTTTGTGCAGACTCAATTGCCATACTAGGTCCCCAAAATACTGCAAAACCGCTTCTGGTAAAAATTGACATGAGCTCTTTTGTGCCAGGAGGGGTGGTGGCGATTCCTATCCAGCCTGTGTGGCATTCGAGGTTAGCAAGCCAAAACCAGGAGGCAGCATCCCCGGTCCTGGCTTTAAGAAGTTGCAACCAGCAAGGGAAACTAGAGGAATCTGAACAATCAGCAGGCAACTGGATGACCAGTGTTTAAAGCTGCCCTGGAGCTGATGAAACGCAGTTGCATGTATTTCTGCCAACTAGTGCGTCTGCTTTAATAACAGATGCAAATATAGGGTCTTCAAACCCATCTCCGCCAAGCCATTGGCAATGAAGTTGAGGATAGTGTGTAACTTTGGGCAAGGAGAGGCTTGCAGGAGGGTTGCAGTGGTGGCTGGAATATGCATCTAGTGTTGTACAAGCACCTTATGGCATCTAACAGGCATCTGGGGCAATACTACGTGACTAGTTTGATAAATGTAATACGAAGAAGCTGGCACGGTTATACTGTTATTTATCTGTCTTTGACTAACAACACATAAAGTACGCTTTTGGTGTTGTAACACCCCAAGATGGGAAGGTACCATCATTTAAGTGTGTTATTAAGCTAATGATGTATAAAGAGATATGGAAAAAGCAACAGCTGTCATCTGCTACATCAGTGGTACTGGTAGTGGAAACTTCCAACTTTTGTTTATGGCCAATGTAACTGAAAATGGAGGGGGAGCTCCTTCTGATCTGAATTTCTCCCTATAGGAGCATCAATGTGTCCTCTTGACTACGGGTGGAGCCGAGGGAGCACCTGTGAGCACAGGAGGCAGATGTTTGGTCTCCTCTTCCTTGTCTACACCAGCAAGTTCAGCACACCCTGAAATGCAGACTTTATTTCTTCTTAGAATTTTGAAGGTGTATCCTATCTTGCACCAGATCTTCTACATTTCTAGTTTAGATGCAGCCTGAGGGGATTTAGGTTTGCATATTTTCCTAAGAGGATTACACTTCACACTTAGTTGCTTTATAAATTGTTTGAGGGTTTTTTTTAATTTTCTAAGCACATGAAAAGCCGCATATGCATTCAGACTGTCCTGAAATGTGTTGTCTGGGGGTTAGTGATAGAAATCTGGTGTTTGAACTAGTAGTAAACTAGATCACTGAACCTCAGGGTTATTTTGAACTGAAAACCATTTTGGTAATCAGATCTGCAGCACGGCTGCAGGAACAGTTGTAGCAGCACAACTGGAAGGGCTAGCAAATTGCAAGAAGGATTATAAACTGCTTACACTGGTATCAGAGAAAACAATTTATTGTGAAAATAGAGCCCAGGAATAAATTAATGAGCACGCTTCCAAGCACAGGGATGCTCATAACACATTGAGATTCTGGAAACTCTTTACGTGCAGGTCAGGGGAGTAAGGCAGCTCAATAGGAAGGGTATTAAGGTAATGAGGGGGAAAAATGGTGGTGGCCTACGAGGATTTTTATCATTTAAGTTCATACTCATACTTCATACTGTACACCTCAGCAATGGTCCCTAGGAGGAATGGGTGCTGCCACCCCTCGTGCTAGCCGGGTGCTGCGGCACGGCGCCTGCGCTGCGCTGGCTGTCGCAGCTGCTTAAACCCCACCGAGGCGGTCGTTTTGATGACTGCCAGCTTAATTTTTCATTATGTGCCTGTGAGTGGGTTGTACCTTAAACTTTTTTTTTTTAATTTATGGTGATTTTTGGAGTGCTGGGTGCAGCTCCTCGTTTTGTGCTGCAGTTGGGGTGTTTGGAGGTTGTGCAGAGGCAGTTGCTGCTAAAACCAAGCCTGTACCAGGGCTTCTTCCCTGCCCTCTAGAACAGTTGGAAAACTTGAAATACTAAGATTTCCGGACTTCATTTCACTGAAGGTGGAGGAGGGATCTGCCTCAGCCGTAGAAAACTGGTTTAAAACAGGACTGAACTCATCTGTGCTGCTCAGAGGGATGGTCAGAGCTCCCCTTTAAACTGCTGGTTTGTGCCCAGTGCTGCCCAGCTCCGTCGTCTTTCACGTCTCTTCAGTCGCTCCTCGCAGGAGTGATGGGATGGACATCACTGAGAAAGAAGTGGTATTTACTTGGTAGAAAGGGCAAGGGGTGAAGTGTTCCCTGTGGCAGTGTGAAGGACAGGCAGTCTCTGTAGATCTACATCTGCATTATTTTGTCAAAGAACTGTGCTTGTAGCGTTGCAAGCTAATGTGGGACTGGTGTTAGATGGGTGTTAAATCCTTGAAGGAAGGAAAAACATGAAAGCACAAACTGAGGAGGAGGTATTGGGAAGTTTCAACTTCTGTTTTGATGTGGAATTTTTATGGAGTAAGTTTACTTCTGTTTGGGATCAGATTGATTCGGTAAGGTAGGCAGAACAGAACAAAATCGATTAATATCCAAAGGTACGTCTCGGCTAGTGAACAGCAGTTTGTAAACTTTACTAAATGACATCTCTGAGGACTTTCTCATGCCCTCTAATCCGTGGTGATCTTTTGTGTTCTGTTTTCTCTGCAGACGTCGACTGATCTCCCAGCGATCTTCTCTGGAGACTCTAGAGGACATCGAGGAAAATGCCCCACTGCGGAGGTCATTTTATTTACTCTCTCTCTGGTTACTTGTCTGTAAGGCTCGTGCGTGGTGCGTATCGGAAAGTAGCTGGGTGTTCACATTAAGAAGTGCTTCCTAGAGGGTAAAGTGAAACCTCATGCACCCTGCAAGGTGGTAGGTGACATGAATTACACGTTCCTTGGCTTTAGGTTATTAAATAAAATGTCAGTATTTAAATAAAATGTCAGGAAATAAAAAGTCAGATTTGATTAATAGAGAAGTTTAGTTGTCGCTAACAGGAATGACTAGTCTCTAACGGAGTACCTTTAAAAAGTAAGTACAGCTGGTTTAGTAAAGTCAGCTTTTGAAGGCTAGTATTTTTAGCATTCTTATTTTTTATGGGTTTTTATCGTTTGTTGTTTCAGCACACACAATCTTATTTTGCTAACCAGCATTACTGTCTTTCTGTGCTGGCTGGAAGGTTTGTGGCTGCTACCTCACTAATAAATCTGCCCCCATCCTTGTTGTATCAGCAGCTTCAGTGCGGCTTTATTTCTGCAACCAGGAGGCCACGGCTTCTCTGGGGACCGCAGTAATTAGTCACTAGGCAATCCTCTGGGGTGATGGAGGATGGAGCGACTGCTTAACAGTTCAGAAACGGGCCGATCAGTAATCTGACCAGTGCATGGTGTGTTTCCAGGTCAGCTGTTTGGCAAGGCAGCAGCTTAATTTTGAATGTCTCTTTATCTTCAGACCTGTAATTCAGTGGTTTTATATTGATGTTTAGCCTAAAGCCTTGTTTATCCACATGCAGACTGGCTGCCTCTCCCCACCTCGAAGCAAAGACTTAACAGCAGAGGCTGTACCAACTGGCCTATTACCAAGGCTTGATTATTTTTACCAAGCATACTCTTGAATGCTTACCAGCATGTTGTGAAGCGTTCTCATAAATGATTCAAACACGTATAATTGGCAAAAGATACAAACAAAGTATGGTTTGCGAGGCAGTAGTTTTACTTGCTAATTTGCAGAATTGGTTGTAGAACCTCTCTCTTGGTGGTATTTTCCCGTGAAGAAGCTAACAAGGCTAATTGCAACCAGAGGGTGGGAGAATCTCGAGGATTTCACAGTAGGCAGAAATGGCAAAGTTTCTGTGTGCCCATGCAGGGTGGTGGCATTAGGGTACAGCAGTGAGGACTGGCAGTCCAAAAAAAAAAAAAAAGGGATCTCTTAGGGTTGGGAAGCTGCTGAACTCTGCCTATGTATAGGAGAGGATGGGAAAAATAGATGAGGGAGGCTCAATGCAGAGGGACGGTGCTGGTCTCGTGTGCCAGCGGAGAATGCTTGTCCCTTAGCTCCCACGGAGGAGGCAGCGGCTGCGGTCCGGCAGCCCTGGCCACGCAGCGAGCGCAGGAGTTATCTCCGGTGCCTGCGTGCCATGCCTGGCAATAAAACAGCCCTGAGATGAAACAGAGGAAGCTTTCACATGCGTTGTGGTTTCAGCTGATTAAAAAGAGCAAGGCTGGCAGGGGGGTGGGTATTGCTGCTTGTCTCATCTCTCCTCCCTCTGGCAATTCCTTTCTCTAACTGCAATTTAAAAAGTGTGTTCAGATGTAAAATAGATTTAAAGATTAATATTTTGAAGAATGATTTTTCTTTTTCCTGAGGTAATTTATTTTCAATTGTCAGGAACATGAAAAATAATATTTAGAATTAGAAGCAAATAGGAATTATGCTTCAAATGAGAGATTTTAAAGGTTTCTAAAAAATAAAACAAGAAAGAACTTTCCTCAGTAGCTCCTTTATCAATAGCTGAAGAGGATACAAAAGTGTTGGTGTTGATGTGATGGGGAAAATCACATATTTACCAGGTTTTGGTTTAGTTTAGTGTTTTTTTTTTCTCTGAAAGCTTGGGCTAAGCTGTCAGGGCAGATTACAGGAAGTTTTATTTTGCTGAGGTATTTTTTATGATGTGTTTTTTTGCATGCAGGGAGGGGTGGTGGTGGTGCCTTTTTTATTATTATTTTAAATATTTTTTTTTATTTGAGCTGTCACATTTCCAGACTTACTGCCTTTATTGTTCTTGCTGATTCCTAACACAGGGTGACTTGAATCATTTGTCTCGTCTTTCCTTCCTGCCTTTGTGTAGACTTCTTGGCCATACAGCAGGGAACTGAGTACTTTTATTTTTTTTCTTTTTTCCCGAACTGATTTATTTTTCAGATGTCGGACACTCTCAGGATCACCCAGACCAAAGAACTTTAAGAAGGTTCATTTTATCAAGAACATGCGGCAGCACGATACCAGAAACGGCAGGTACTGTGCATCCAAAGGCTGCTTCTGCAAAGGCAATCTGTGGGGTGCGAGGGAAGGGACAGGGTCAGCATCCCCGTGCAAGAGCACAGCGTGCCATTGCCACTTACCACATCCATAGTAATGGCCTTTAAAGTAGTCTGGGCAGGTGCAGGCTGCAGTGCACGCTGTGTAGTATGAGTCAATGGAAGTGCTAGCCCATGTGTTTTTAAGACCTGTGTCTCCTTAATACAAATAACCTGCATAAAAGGAAAATCCCTGGTGCTGTCGGAGTAAACTGGGCATAATCTGGTTGCATTTTTTTGAGGGTAGTGCCAGGCGCTAGGTGTGAGAGGAGTGCATGGCTGAACCTGCCTGGAACAAATTTAGCAACGGCTGAATGACATTTCAATGTCTATTAGTGGATGCAAAGTGCTGGCTGGTAAATGTGCAGCTGGGGATGGTTGTGGCAAGGTGAGGAATGGGATCCTTGTTTTCAGGGCAGATGCAGGCAGAGGGGCTCCCGGGGGATGTGTGAGGGGCACACCCCAAGCTGGGACGTGCACTGCCTGGACTGCAGCCATAGGCACCGGTGGGACCTGTGCAGCAGCGGTCAGACAGGACTTCCCTTACTGCAAAGTCACGGTGGCTATCGTGGTGTTCCCATCAGGAAAATGGGTTCTTTATTGCAGTATCATCCAGCTCAGAAGTGAAACTAGCTCCTCCCTGCTTATAAAGAAGACACCTGCCCTCTCTGTTTTTTTTTTCCAAGACAATTTCCCCATGTACCTCATGATTTTATTCTTGTCCTTCCAAACCTGCATAGATTTGAAATAGGCTACCCGAACAGGTTGCATATAGAGTAAACATCCCACTGAGAGTTGACTCTGCAACGTACCTCTTCTCATACAACTGCCGTGGGTGAGAACTGTGTACGTTCCTGTGGACTGATTTTTGCACGTAGCCTGTGGTTTCCATCAAACGTGGAACCAGCTCAACAGAAATTCTGACATTATGTTGAACCATGGGTTTTATGAATTGAATTCTAGGTGTTACGGGGCTAGAGCAAAATTTTCCTCGCGTTTATTCTCACACGTACAATTAAATGCAGTGAAAGGTAGTAATCAACATAAATATGTGGCTCTGAGAGACGACAGCTTTTTAGAAACAGCTTCTGTAGCAGACAGACGCATGCAGAACTGTTGAATATTGTCTGACTAGCAGCTGATTATTGTCTTTACAACAAATACATGTGGAATCAAATGCTGAAAAAAGAGCCCTCTAATTTTAGTCTGTTTTGCGCATAAATAGATGTATGCTCTGGGAATTTCTTACAGCAAAAAATACTTATTCATAAGGTATTATGCAAATTCCACAGAGAAGAATAATTTGTGAGATATGTGTATAAAATACATGCATAAGCTTGATAGAAATATTACCTGTGAAAAAATTAATAAATACTTTATTTGTAAACCCTTTTCTCCATCTTTTGCAAAAAAGTATTTGTAGGATATATGCAGCATTTTATCTTGATTCATAGATCAGTCGTTACGTCTGATAATATAACTGAATATTTTTCTTGCTAAGAAAACAGTGAGTAAGCTTCTGTTATTCAACTGGCTTCTTATCTTTATCAGCAGACACAGTTTTCCAGAATATTTCCATAATCATGATAAGGATCTCTTTATCTAGAACACAAATAAAATGAGAATAAGATACACAGTTTTGGAAATGCTTTTCGTCCTATGGACAAAGAGCCACAGTGATATTAGCTAAAAATAAAATGCAAAGTCAACACTTCGTGTCGCCCCTAAGCCCCTAAGGCCAGCTGAGTCTAGTGGTAAGTAAGCTGAGCGCATATGCTGTTTTTCTGAAGGGTCTGGCTGCTGTTGCAGTCACTGAAATTAAGAGGCATTCCGCATGAAAAGGACCTCGGGAAAGTCAGGTGGATCTGCTTTATGTGTTCATCCTAAAATAACAGAGTTTCTGAGTACCTTGAGACGTCTAAAGCAGGCGTCTTCCCTGGTTCCCTGTCACATGGAGGAGCACCGGTATCGCAATGGGTAGAAAACCCTCCTGGGGCTCCTTCCCGTGCCCGGGACCTCGCCCCGTGCGGCTCGTGCGCAGTTGTGCGGGCAGCAGGTGCTCAGGCGGGCTGGAGTCGGGCTCTCTGAACTCCCTCCGAAACCCTGGGCCCTCCTGGTGTGGCGTGACAGCCTTTCGCTTCACTTGAGGAACCGAGCTTTGAAAACATCGACACAGATAATATTTTTGAGTGGTGTGTTTGATAGCTGGGCTTTAAAATAGCCAGTGCTTTCAGTAATTGTTTTGCTGGCGTGTGGCTGTGAGTGTCAGAGCAAACTTCAGCGTGGGTGATAGCTTGGAGCTTGTTTCTCTGCTAACTGCCCTTATTTGTGGCTCTCAACCTGCGAAGTGAGGTGTCCTTGTCCTGTGGCCCTGAGAGCTCTTCCCCTCCCAGCCCCGGGGGGGACACACGCTGAGCAACGATGATCTGGGTCCAGCCTTTGGCAGTCCAGCAGCAGGACGGGACTGGCCGTGGTTAAAATAAGAGCTCAGCTATTTTAGCACAGAGAAATGCCACCTAGACACAGAGCGCAGCTTATCAGCCAGTCCTTGTAAAGCTTCTTGTCGATGGTTCTGGGTGCTGGTTAAACCGGTTTCTTTGGATTTGTAGGATGTGTCTTATTAAAGGAGCTGGAAAATTAGGTTTCCTAGGCTGTGTTAGGAAAGCAGTCTTGTTAAATAACACAAAATAAATTTTCCCATTCCAAAGACAAAGACAAGTCAACCCTAACATACAAATTAGCACAGGTAGCCACCAGCCTGTGGTTTCACCCATGTTACTCGGCAGATTTATTGGTATTATCTTCCATAAACTGTGAAGCAGAAGATTTCCTATGTAGCAGAAACAGGCCGCTGAAACAGCAACCTGATCCAGCTGAACAAACAATTCATGGTGAGAATGGGGCCAGAACATTTCTAGAGTCACCCTATACAGCAGATAAATAAAAGCAGCAAAATGATGCTCCTCTCCCACCCCCATGCTATCGCTTTCTTAATTTTTCTGTTAGTACGCACACAGTTCCATGCCAAGGCCAAAGAGCATCCGTAGGGCATGAAAGATCTGGTTTGCTGCCCTTTTAATTGTGGAAGCACACACACAGATGCACTCTAAGAGGTTGACTATTTGCGGTGTCCTCACTGTTCGTTATTGCTCTCAGCCACCTTCCAACAGCCCCAACTAGAGCTTGGGAGATTCCAGAATGATGTCTGCCACCCAGACAGCGTCCAGGGTTTGCGTGTTCACCTTTGCGTGCAGGGCAGCAAAACCCTGGTGTTAGAGGCTACAATATTCTGCATGCATACGGTACATATGATGTATATCACATTGCCTGATCTCAGCCTTTTGGTGCAACACAATCAAACCTAGACAGACGCTAAAGAAAACAGGCGTTATTCAAGTCAAGTGAATTACTGATTTCTGTTGAGAGCCTTGTGCTCAGTAAGTTTTTGTAGTATCATAGCATACACCCCATTAAAGAAACTGGAAGAATAGCTTTTACAGTCTCAGACAGTTGCACTTTGTCAGAGCTCTCTTGCAAAAATAATGGTTGCTCTGAAGCATAGTAATTAGTACAACTTCTTGGTGAAATGTGAGAATTAGAGAATGAAGAGCTTTTCATAAAATACTTTTAAACATGCTTAGGTGGCACAGTGGCAATCAGGGCACATAAACCCACTCTGACTCAAGCTGCTTCTGATGTTGGAGATAGTTCTGTAGAGCTGCATAGTGTCGTAGATGCTCTTTGTTGAAGAGTTGAAATCCAGGAAAATGCTCTTCTCCCATAAACAATAATTTGGTTTTCTTGAACAGCAGCCAGCTTCCACCACACCTTCTTCTCCAAATGACAAGTTTCTGGACTTTCTGCTCCAGCAAACCATTGCCTGCCCTCAGCATTTTTTTTTTTCCATGCATATCATCAGACCTCTAAGTAAAATGCTATTTTATTTCTCTGTGATGGGCTTCCAACCCCTGCCTTCCCTGCTTCTCTTGCAGTCCAGCTCCTCAGGCTGTTTTACACCAGCCCTCTCCAGCAGCTTTGCAGATGAGGTTTTGTGGCATCCTGGTGGTGGGCTCTTCTCCTAGTTGACCTGGGAGATCTTTATGTAAAGAAGGTCCCCCGGTTTATGGAAAGAGGCAATACTCTCTTCCCAAGGGAAAGACATCCAAAAAAACTAGAGGCTGGGCTGGTGCTTTTTATTTCCTTGCTGATCTGATTCCTTCTGATATGTACAGCAAGTTTTCTGTGGTAACCTCCCACTGTTGTCTCTGCTGGTGGACATGGAAGGACCTTTTTTTTCTTTAAGTATTAAGAGTTGGGGTTTTTTTTAGGGAGGTGTATGGTGTTTGTGGAAGAGCTGTATTTCCAGAAGAAGCCAGAGGGAGTGGGGGGAATATGCTTAGTGGGTACTGTGGTTTTCCGAATTCAAAGATGCTTTCTGATGTCAGCTTCAAAATCTGTGCCAAGTTTCATACATCAGCAAACAAGGCTTCCAGTGAACAAGCAAGCTGTTGTGAGTAGCAACCATTCAGCAATGAGCAGTGGCAAACACAAAATTAATCATGCCAGTTTTTTTTTTGCTTGTGGACTGCCTTTCTCAAATGTGAAAAATTATTCCCCGCTGCTTTATAACTTAGTGATGCACCATGAGACCGTCTTACAGGATCTGAGATATTTACCATAGGTAAGGGGTGTTACAGCATTCAGACAAACAATGAAATCATGCTTTATCTGCTGCAGGAGAACTTCCTAATGTTGTATGCATGTTTATTATTAGAAACCCCACTTTATTAAAGGGTAAATACCACTTTGCTTTTAAACGTGCTTTTAAGGAAGAAAATAGGATGGCTAGAACAGAATGATCCAGGAGAAGGAAAGTTGATCATTCTGCATTTTTCCAAGCGTTATATTCAGCAGCTCTCCTGGGGATCTAAACCTTTTCCAAGAAAGATGACTAAGCTGGTCCCTTAAGGAAATAGTGTTTTAATAACAGCGTAACTGGTACGAGATTTATAGCTGCATATAGTGGTTTTCGGACAGTAAAGAACAAAATGGCTTGCCAGGGTTTGTTGTCCAGCTTTGAGCAGTGTAGGACAAAGGATGAAAAATTCCGGTGAAATCCTCATATACAGATCTGTGGGACACAACGCTAGAAAAACTAATGTTGGAGAGCAGAGCAAGGGAGTGCAATAGCCCTGACAACCAACCTAGCAGTAGGTCCTAGCATTTGGACCACAAGTGGAGATTTTTAGAAAGGTAAAACATCAGTAAATTCTAACACTAATCAGTTTAGAAGATTGCAGAGATTGCCATCACCATGTCTTAGAATTTGAGGGGATGCAGCCTGTTGGCCAACTTCAGAGGGAAGAAAGGGTCTTTTTAGTGTATATTGTACAATTGTGCAATTGTTGTCCTGGAGGTAATAAGGAGAAGAAGGTATATTTATAAACGATCAGTTATTTATTGACATTTTATATCTTACAACTTGATCAAGCTTCTCTTGGCTTCTTGCCAATGTCCATCTCCCAAAACTATAATTAGGTAGCTATTGGCGGTCCACGCAGTTGTGGACTGGTTTTGATGTTGCTTAATGATATGTCAGAGGTTGATGGCTAAAAGTAATAGTGTGGCTGTAAAAAAGATTGGTGGCTCTAAGGTCCTTTATTTAATGTCACACAGTGACTTTGCAGATGATGCAGGGATTTTGGAGACTGGTTAAAAATACAAGGGGTTTGCTCTAAGAGTGGCCTGGTTTCTGAGATAAGCTTGGAGCAGGCAGGTAACGTATGCTTTCATGTAGCTAAATGTACAGCTACCTGCCTGTCAGGAATAAAGGCAAGCCATGCTTACAGGAGGAGGGATTCAGCCCCGCCAGTTAGTGGCTGAGATAGACACGGTGCTGGAGGAGAGGGGGCGAGGAGCTATGGGATCAGTCATGCCTGGATGTCAATGCGACATCATAACCAAGAGGGCTGATGTGATTACCGAGCGCAGAGGCTGGCGGGTTGTCAGAGCTAGACCCCGACCTTAAAGGTAAGACTGAAAGATGCGATGTTAATATCTGCGATGCGTGCAACTGCTGAGGCCACTGACACTGCCCAGAGACCAGGAAAGGTGATGGGGAAAAACTGGAGAAGAATCAAGGAGGAACCTGGAAGACAGTGAGAGGACCTGAAAGCTTATGATAATAACAAACTTGGACTTCATCCGTGAATCAGACTATTTCAGGAACAGGAAGCTGGAAATCAAAGGAGTCCGTTGGTTTAGCAGAGAAAGGTCATGACCAGCAGCTGGAAGTTGTTGTCCGATGAGTGCAGACTCCAAGTCAGCCACAGAGTTGGGGTGTGTATCGCAGGTGGCTGCTGGTGTGTTCACCCGGGTTGCTGCTGGATTTGTCCTCTACGTTTCAGCCGTAGCGTTGGGTTGTCAGAACGGCTCCCTGCCCCTCTGGGCAGACTCCTGTCACTAGAAGGACATCTATCCTGGATTACAAACAACATATTCAAGATAGTCTTCCTAGAAAGGCTGTAGAGGGGAGGGGACTCGACTACTCGTTCGCTGTGAAATGTATGGCACAGGCTTTAGCACTTCTGTAAAGACTCAGTAGCACGATACCCTACCTGTGAGATAAAAAAGAGGAGGGAGAAATCACCCGTGATGGAAGTTGTATGGTTACGAATTCCTCAGTGGTAACATCTGTTGCTTTGCTTATTGTCGTGGGATTTTTAAATTTTAGTCTTTGATTTCTTTTATTTTCTTTTATATTTTAGAATAGTCCTTATCAGCAGCAGAAGATCCTTCTGTAGCATATTTTCAGTGCTGCCATATCGAGACTGTACCCAAGTCGGGTATGTATATTTATACATGTACTACATAGTCTTTCTGGGCCTGCATGTAGACCTGATAACGGACAACAGCATGGTGGAGGCTAATGCTTTTACATATCTGCTCTGAGAAGAGATAAATGCACTTAGATCTATTTGCCTTGTGGAACATTAACAGGTTAAAACTACAGCTCTCAGTTCCGATTTATTTATATGTGTTGTGGTATCTTTGATTATTAAATGGGAGAAAACTACCCCCCTGAAATCAATGTTTGTGAAAAATGCACTGTTTTTATTGTTTCGTCTGGCTTCGCTCATCTTTGACAAAACAAGTGCTCTAGACAGCACAACTTTTATTTTATAGGCAGTTTTAGCTTTCTCATTCTGCCGTGCAAACATCGTGCTACTATATCTAGATTTCCAGAACTATAGAGAAATATTTGGATTTAAACATAATACCTTTTTATTGTACATTTAACCATTGGTCAGATCATTCAGTCAGTGAAAACAGATTGTTTTGGCCATAATACCATACAGGTTCTTAGCTGGTGTAAGCAGCATCCGTGGAGCTGCCTTGCATCCCTGGATGTGCTGAGACACCAGACCTCAGGTAGAAAAGTTTATTTGGATTGAAGCAGTTCTCCAAAGACCGAGCAAGCTTTTTGCTCTTCCGCTGAAACCGTGGAAGTGGAAGAAACTGGATTTGGCTAGGAGATGTTGTCTGGCGGGCTCCGGGGCATGGCTTGCTGGGCGCCTTCAGAGGCTCAGCGCAAGGCTGGGAAGGGCAGCGCTGGTCGGCGGCAGCTCCGTGCCTCTGGGGCAGAGGAGCAAAGTGTGGCCACCGCGGCCACTCGCCAGAGACCTGAGAGTTGCCTGTAGATGGGGTCAGCTCAGTGCCTGCAGGGCACAAAATTTGCGGGAAATATTCAGTCGATACACCGAGGTGGGTTTGAAAGACCCACAGACCATCTAGAGTAAAATTTATCCAGTGTGTAAAAGATTAATTTGGCTCATATTTTTCAGCCATCTATTTCATTCTGGAGAATTATTTGCCACAAGCTGCTTGTGCATCAATAATTCAAAACAAAGGGAGATGATTTTTAACGCACAAAGGAAAGGAGTCACCTCTGTAGGAGAGTTGACTGGTTCCCCTGTCTCTTAGAGTAAATTTTTTAATTTAATTAAACTGGAATGACATGTCAGGCAAATTCTTGACAGACTGGCAGCTTTGTTCGTTCTTATTGGCTACACTGTCATTCATTTATGGTCATTGCCCTGTGGAAATTGCCTCTTTATTGAAAATTGAATGTATTTTGAAATGCTGATGACTGGTTATACCTTCTAAATTACAGCAGTAACGAGCCCAGCTGCAAACCTAAATATTATTTCAGCATGTAATGTCTTCTACCATGCTTGCGCAGCAAGAAGGGCTGTGGGGTGAGAAGGTAGCAGGTGCCAGTACAAAACAATCCAGCCCTGTTCCCTTTGCTAAAAAGCCAAGATTTAAAAAAAAATGCCCTCTGCCTTTCTTCCAGAGCATCAGAGGAAGAGAGAAACAATTCAATGGCACCTCCTTCCAGGAGCAGCTGGTGCAAAGAACAGATGAGGCAGTATAGCATAAACTGTAGCCGCTCTGTCCAGGCTGCAGAGTGCTATTTTGGATGTGTGGTAGGAGCGGGGAGAGACACTGGTACCCTTCTGAAGTACTGTAGTGACAGCATCCTTTAGCTTTGCTTTCCCTGCATCTCTGGGTTGCTGATGGCTGTCCCCGGACAAGATGTCCCAACTGGTTTAGGTTCTGCAAACATTTACTGAATGGTTTACGAAAAGCTACCAACCATTGCAGGGAGCTATGGGTGTACCTGCGGTGAGACTGGAGTAAGCCCTGGCGGGAGCGGGAGCGGGAATGCGGGGCGGATGTGCATGCAGGGGGGACTGTTCCACGTGAGAGAGCACATGGTGGAGCTGCTGCTGCTTCTCCACTGCTCCGATGCGCAGGCACCACGGCCAGCGAGGAAGTTTGCAGGCACAGCTGTGTTTTGGGGAGGCTGCCAGCCCCTGTTATACTGTAGGCAGCACAGAAGAGCTCTACTGTGTCGATGCTGGTAGCTAAACTGCACTAACAGATCCGTTTTAAAACCCTGCCTGAAAGGCGGTGCCTGCACTCACAGCTAAACTCTGTGCTCTTGCCTGGGGTGGATGGGGCAGCATCGCCCCTCGCCAGCGGGGTGCGAGCAATGCGCTCTAGACCGTGCCCCTTGCTTGCCCACCCTCCGTGTTGAGGTCAAGATACAACAGCAAGAACCCTCCCCAAACTCCCAAACGGTGTTTTTCAGTCATCGTGCAAATACAAACGGAGGTCGGGGGGGTGTGGGGAGGAGAGCTGCGGAAGTACGTGAGAGGATGAAATTTGAACTGTCCACTGGCACATTTCCCAAATCCCGCTCCCCGTCAGCCGGGCAGGCAGGGGGATCACCGGGAGCGCAGCTGGCACCAAGCTTTTGAAGGAACACGTATTCCAGAGCGGTGCGGAGGCTGCCGGTGATGAATGGTAGGTTTTCCTACCGGTAGGTTTTCCTACCCACGGCCTCGGAAGGCCGATCTGGTGGTGCTTGCTGGGGCCGAGAAGGAAGGACACTGTGTGCTAGGGGAATTCCTTTCTCTAGTTTCCTCCGTTACGCTGAAGAGAAGCGAAGAGTACAAAGCAAAGAGTGACACGGTGGGGAGAAAAAAGGTCGTGAACAGAAGTAATTGCTAGAATTTTCTGTCTTCAAAATTTTGTCCATACCTTGTGTCTGATGGAAACCTAATGCTTTAGCTTATAGTGCTTTTGTGCAAGGGAAAAGGGGAGAATTAAATCTAAATTGAAAAAGGTTTCGAGATGTGTTATCTCCTGCTGGAGTCGCTGAGAGGCAGGTATTTCTGTGGATCTGGGCCGTAAATTCTCCTCTCCAGGTCTGGCTGTGTTAAGATTGCCGGCATCTTTGCTGGTGGCATGAAGACAGGCACAGCTTCATCTGTTTCCATGGCCAAGAGTAGGGTAATGGGCAGGACCAGAGCTTGCTTTTCTTCCCCCAGAGCAGCTGTGAGAGCAGACGTAGCCAGGCAAAAGCAGCGTAAGGAAGGCTGTACTGCGAGTCAGGAGCTGGAAGAGATGCCGAGCATCTTGCCTGCTGGCTTCCCTTGGCCCCCAGTGTTACAGCCCAAAGTCGTACGCAAGGTTTGGTGGTGGCTAAGGGCAGCGGTGAGAGGGTCGCCCTGTACTGAGAGCACTGTGACAGCGTTAATGCCTCTGTTATTGACAGACACACACACAAACTCTCGTTATCATTACAGGATGTTCTGCAGAGGCAGGTAGCACCTGCAGGATCCAGCAACACTCATAATGTTGTCTGAGTGCTTGGCTTTGGTTACGTTTTTATGAAATACAAAGTCATTGTGCGATGAACAAGTTAGAGGTGAGGCAATTTAAGGGCTCGTGGTGGTACTGCAGGATTGGTTGTGCAGTTGCTACTCTTTTTTTTCAATCTATTGGAAGTCTTCATGGCTAAAGGCTATTCATAATCTGAATTTTTCTGCTGAACAAAATCTTGCTCACCAGTGAAACATGCATGCCGTTACCACACAGATTTTTTGCGGTAACATTTACAAACAAAACACATGCATGGGGAGATGCAGCAGTGACTACCGAACCTTTTTTACCATTGTGGAGAGATACTTGTGCTTTATACAAATTGTTTCTCGTCTCCTTTCTCACCGTTCACTGATGTTATACTATGGATCATGCTGATACTGCAGTATTCTTTAATAATATGTAGAAATTTGAAACATCATATATAATTTTATGCTAATACTATTCTTCAAGTTCCTCTTTCTTATTTAAATGTAATACTCCAAAAGATGGAAGAGCTACTTTGTGAAGGGTATTGAAACTGGATTTTTGGCTCAGCATCCACTTGACGTCTTCCTTGCAGGAGATGAGAATTAATCCCCATCTAGTTCTGCAGATGGGCAGAAAATGGGAGGTGACGACAGTTACCAGAGATGCACCTTGTGCAGCCCCTGGGCTGCTGTGGCGCACACCTCCTTTGTCAAAGGTTGTCACGGTGGAAGCTCACAGCAAGTCTAGTTGAAGCCTTGGTGCTGTTCCTCTTCCAGTACAGGGATGACTTGGGTCACTAGCAAATAGCTGCCCCAGCACACGCACTCAGCTCGTGCGCGTACACACACATGCTGACCTGCTCTGGGCCCTCAGAGGGGATTCGTTTCATGGCAGACCAAAGAGTGGAGCCACTTGCAGATGGATTAAACGAGACTTGAAGGGATTACTCATTTGGAGATGGGCTTCAGACAGTTTGAGGTGAATTGGATTTCAGCCTTCTGAGCTAGGGGTCAGACACAGCAGGTATTAGCCTTTTAGACATGAGGCAGGTCATGCTCCAGGTGCTGGGATCACTGCGTATGTCCCCAAAGAGGAATTGTTATGGCCAGGTCTCCCTTGCAGCTGCTACAGGGAACGTGCCTGCAGGTTTCTGCCCACCTCTCTCCCCAGCACGGTCTGTGCAAGGGCGCTCTGCGGACCGTCCGTGTGACCCCAGCTGGGATAGAGAAGGACCAGGTTCAGCTCTGCCTCCAGGGAGCTATCCTGGGAAAGGCAAATTTCCTAGGCAGGGGAAGAAGGGAACCTATTCTCCATTGCTTACCTGCTCTTGGAGCTTCTCTAGGCACTACTTCTCCCTCGACTTCGAAGGAGATGGTCCAACTCTGACAGTCCTTATGGGTGTCATTGGAGTTGCTCCATGTGGTCTGAAGAAAGGCTCTGAATATGCTTGTAGGGAACTGAGGGCAATCCAGTTCTTGTTAGTATTTTAAGGTACCTAAGCATTTTCAAAAAAGGAGATGGCCATATGTGTCTGTCACTGTTAGCGGTGTTACAAAGGAAGAAGGTACCATATTGTCTTTCCCCTCAGGAAGAGAAGGTAATAAAGTTAGCTGGGTTTATAGTTCTGTTGTGTTGGGTTTTT